GTAGTGGAATTTTATTTCAAAATTATTTTTAATTTCTCACGCGTTTCCGTCTTTTTAATGTTTAAACGAATGAACTATTGTTTAAATATTAGTAGTTTGTACTACATGTACATTAAAAATTGTTTAATTAATTGAAAAATTACCGAAATTATTGATTTATAAGTTTTCCCGATTAGAAATAAAGAGTATTGATGTGCACTGGTCGAAGTGCAAAAGTAAACTAAATCGCGAATCGTCAAAGTTAATCGAAGAATCGATTATGTTTATATTGCAGAAGGCCAACAACCGCGAGATCAAATTTTTAAGTATTGGAATTTTATTTCAAAATTATTTTTAATTTCTCACGCGTTTCCGTCTTTTTAATGTTTAAACGAATGAACTATTGTTTAAATATTAGTGTATTGTACTACACGTACATTAAAAATTGTTTAAATAATCGAAAAATGATCGAAATTATTGATTTATAAGTTTTTCTGATTAGAAATAGAGAGTTCCGATGTTTAATGGTCGAAGTGCAAAAGTAAACTAACTCGCGAATCGTCAATATTAATCGAAAGATCGATTATGTTTGTATTGCAGAAGGCCAACAACCGCGAGATCAAATTTTTAAGTATTGGAATTTTATTTCAAAATTATTTTTAATTTCTCACGCGTTTCCGTCTTTTTAATGTTTAAACGAACGAACTATTGTTTAAATATTAGTGTATTGTACTACACGTACATTAAAAATTGTTTAAATAATCGAAAAATGATCGAAATTATTGATTTATAAGTTTTCCCGATTAGAAATAGAGAGTTCCGATGTTTAATGGTCGAAGTGCAAAAGTAAACTAACTCGCGAATCGTCAAAGTTAATCGAGGGATCGATTATGTTTATATTGCAGAAGGCCAACAACCGCGAGATCAAATTTTTAAGTAGTGGAATTTTATTTCAAAATTATTTTTAATTTCTCACGCGTTTCCGTCTTTTTAATGTTTAAACGAATGAACTATTGTTTAAATATTAGTGTATTGTACTACACGTACATTAAAAATTGTTTAAATAATCGAAAAATGATCGAAATTATTGATTTATAAGTTTTCCCGATTAGAAATAGAAAGTTCCGATGTTTAATGGTCGAAGTGCAAAAGTAAACTAAGTCACGAATCGTCAAAGTTAATCGAGGGATCGATTATGTTTATATTGCAGAAGGCCAACAACCGCGAGATCAAATTTTTAAGTATTGGAATTTTATTTCAAAATTATTTTTAATTTCTCACGCGTTTCCGTCTTTTTAATGTTTAAACGAACGAACTATTGTTTAAATATTAGTGTATTGTACTACACGTACATTAAAAATTGTTTAAATAATCGAAAAATGATCGAAATTATTGATTTATAAGTTTTCCCGATTAGAAATAGAGAGTTCCGATGTTTAATGGTCGAAGTGCAAAAGTAAACTAAGTCACGAATCGTCAAAGTTAATCGAGGGATCGATTATGTTTATATTGCAGAAGGCCAACAACCGCGAGATCAAATTTTTAAGTAGTGGAATTTTATTTCAAAATTATTTTTAATTTCTCACGCGTTTCCGTCTTTTTAATGTTTAAACGAACGAACTATTGTTTAAATATTAGTGTATTGTACTACACGTACATTAAAAATTGTTTAAATAATCGAAAAATGATCGAAATTATTGATTTATAAGTTTTCCCGATTAGAAATAGAGAGTTCCGATGTTTAATGGTCGAAGTGCAAAAGTAAACTAACTCGCGAATCGTCAAAGTTAATCGAGGGATCGATTATGTTTATATTGCAGAAGGCCAACAACCGCGAGATCAAATTTTTAAGTAGTGGAATTTTATTTCAAAATTATTTTTAATTTCTCACGCGTTTCCGTCTTTTTAATGTTTAAACGAATGAACTATTGTTTAAATATTAGTGTATTGTACTACACGTACATTAAAAATTGTTTAAATAATCGAAAAATGATCGAAATTATTGATTTATAAGTTTTCCCGATTAGAAATAGAGAGTTCCGATGTTTAATGGTCGAAGTGCAAAAGTAAACTAAATCGCGAATCGTCAAAGTTAATCGAAGGATCGATTATGTTTATATTGCAGAATGCCAACAACCGCGAGATCAAATTTTTAAGTATTGGAATTTTATTTCAAAATTATTTTTAATTTCTCACGCGTTTCCGTCTTTTTAATGTTTAAACGAATGAACTATTGTTTAAATATTAGTGTATTGTACTACACGTACATTAAAAATTGTTTAAATAATTGAAGAATGATCGAAATTATTAATTTATAAGTTTTCCCGATTAGAAATAGAGAGTTCCGATGTTTAATGGTCGAAGTGCAAAAGTAAACTAAGTCGCGAATCGTCAAAGTTAATCGAGGGATCGATTATGTTTATATTGCTGAAGGCCAACAACCGCGAGATCAAATTTTTAAGTAGTGGAATTTTATTTCAAAATTATTTTTAATTTCTCACGCGTTTCCGTCTTTTTAATGTTTAAACGAATGAACTATTGTTTAAATATTAGTGTATTGTACTACACGTACATTAAAAATTGTTTAAATAATCGAAAAATGATCGAAATTATTGATTTATAAGTTTTCGCGATTAGAAATAGAGAGTATTGATGTGCACTGGTCGAAGTGCAAAAGTAAACTAACTTGCTAATCGTCAAAGTTAATCGAAGGATCGATTATGTTTATATTGCAGAAGGCCAACAACCGCGATATCAAATTTTTAAATATAAGAATTTTATTTCAAAATTATTTTTAATTTCTCACGCGTTTCCGTCTTTTTAATGTTTAAACGAATGAACTATTATTTAAATATTAGTAGTTTGTACTACACGTGCATTAATGATTGTTTAATTAATTGAAAAATGATCGAAATTATTGATTTATAAGTTTTCGCGATTAGAAATAGAGAGTATTGATGTGCACTGGTCGAAGTGCAAAAGTAAACTAACTTGCCAATCGTCAAAGTTAATCGAAGGATCGTTTATGTTTATATTGCAGAAGGCCAACAACCGCGAGATCAAATTTTTAAGTAGTGGAATTTTATTTCAAAATTATTTTTAATTTCTCACGCGTTTCCGTCTTTTTAATGTTTAAACGAATGAACTATTGTTTAAATATTAGTGTATTGTACTACACGTACATTAAAAATTGTTTAAATAATTGAAGAATGATCGAAATTATTAATTTATAAGTTTTTCTGATTAGAAATAGAGAGTTCCGATGTTTAATGGTCGAAGTGCAAAAGTAAACTAACTCGCGAATCGTCAATATTAATCGAAAGATCGATTATGTTTGTATTGCAGAAGGCCAACAACCGCGAGATCAAATTTTTAAGTAGTGGAATTTTATTTCAAAATTATTTTTTATTTCTTACGCGTTTCCGTATTTTTAATGTTTAAACTAATGAATTATTGTTTAAATATTAGTATTTTGTACTACATGTACATTAAAAATTGTTTAAATTATCGAAAAATTATCGAAAATATTAATTTATAAGGCTTCACGTTTAGAAAGAAAGAATGTCGATGTTTATACGCCGGAGTACAAAAGATATCTAATTCGGTGTTTGTCAAAGTTAAGAAGAAGCACTTTGATGTTTATATTACACAAGGTCGACTAACCAGAGATCAAAATTTTATAGTGTTGCTTTTAACTGAAATTATTTGTAGTTTCTCGCCCGTTTTCGTCTTTTTAATGTTTAAATGAATGCAATATTGTTATAAAGATTAATTTATTATTCTACGTTTACATCGAAGATTGTTTAAATAATTGAAAAATTATCGAAAGTATTAATTTATAAGGCGACAGTAAGATAGTGCGTACATATGCACTGATTGGAGTATAAAAGAAAACTCATTCGATTATCGATTATGAATAGATTTATACCGCAAAAGGCCAACAGTCGATATAAAATTTTTAAATATTAGAATTAAATATTAATAATATATAATAATATTAAAAATTAATTTTAAATATTAGAAATAATATTATTTTAATTTTCTCTCGCGTTTTCGTCTTTTTAATATTTAAACGAATCTATTATTGTTTAAATATCAGTTTATTATATTCCGTGTACTTTAGAGACTTTTAAAAATGATTGAAAAATTATCGAAAGTATTAATTGATAAATTTTCACGTTTAAAAAGAAGAGAGTAACGACGTTTATTCGTCAAAATCTAAAAGAAAATTAATAAAGAAACCTTTAGAGTATAATTTTTAAATAAATAAAATATTATTGAAATATTAATTTATTATACACCGACGTACATTGTAATTTATATAAATTAGTTTAAAATAAAGGTTTGTTTTAATTACATACGTAAGCTGATATTGCGATTTATATCTTTAATAAATAATATTTATTAAATTGCTTATAATATATTAATACCTAAATAAATATGTTATTGTTTGAATAATAGTTTTTTGTTTTTTTATAAACCGTGCATGTTTCAAGTCGTTTATATTTTTGTTTCAACATATACATATCGATGTTTGGTCACGTGTCGAAATTATCAAAGACGCGATTTATCGATATTTTTCGTGTGAAATCATAACGCGAATAGGATAAATTAAAAACAATAATAATGAACGACATACGATCTTCGTTGGATCATAGGTATATTTTATTTTCTTCTTTTAAATATATTCTTTTTTTGTTATTGTAATATACCGTCATCGTATATAATGTACAATGTACACAATGTATATAATATTTAAATATATCCTTATACCGAAGATTTTAAAGTTGCGCCATTGTACGAAATTTATCTCTCAAGAGAAATGTCAAAAATATGTTTTAACGTTAGGATCGAATGAGAAAACATAATTTTTTGTCAACTATGACAAATGGGATTTTATTTTTTGAAGATAAAAATTTATCACGTCGGTAATAGGTTATTTTGAATTTTCGTAAAATTTCTCTTTTCGATTATAAATCATATAGGCAAGAGGACGATATTTTTTAAACATGGTTTTTGTTTTCAAAGAAAATTAATATTTCTTAGATATTCAAAATAACCATTTTCTGTTTCAAACTTTTCTCTTTAAAATGAGATCTTTTTCGTCAAAATCAATAAATTATGCTTACGTTTTTGTTGCTGACGTAAATGGAGGTTATAAAATTTAGGACAATGAATGACAGCTTTATAACCTTTCACTTTTAAACTGAGATGGATTGTGAACACGATTTCTATGGCTATGTTAATTTCAAAAAATAGTTTATATTTTGCATATATATATTCTATAAATACAAATAACATTATGTTAACTGTAGAGTATTATTAAACTGTTAATTGGCATGAATTCATGTAAGATTTTATTTATGTTTATTATCATATGGTATCATTATTTTTAAGGATAATATATTATTTTATTGATTTTTCTTTTTCTTCTTTTTTTCTCTTTTTCTTTTAGGAAAGAATAGTCGCAATTAATGTTATGTTTAACATAACCTAATGAATTGAAAATTATATTTTTTTAAAAGATCCGAAAGAAAAATTGATATATATATATATATATATATATAAATATATATATATATATATGCATATATATATATGTATATATTTAAATATAAAAATAATAGAAATTAATCATGGATAATATTAATGATAATACAGTGAAAGTTGTATTTTTTTCTTTATTGTTAGATTTATTAGCATTTACTATGATATTACCTTTATTACCAGCCTTATTAGATCATTACAAAGTATTGAGTAATAAAGGACTTTATTCTATGATATCTCATCATGTGCAAAGTTTACGAATACTTTTAAATGCTCCTGATAAAATTGATACTGTTCTGTATGGTGGTATGTATATTTTTTAAATAAAATTAATTAATATTAATGATATATATAGAAATGTAATTTGTAATATATTATTTCTATAGGTTTTCTAGGTTCTATGTATTCTTTTTTACAATTCATTAGTTCACCAATAACAGGAGCATTATCTGATACTTATGGACGGAAACCTTTAATGATTTTGTGTTTAACAGGTATTACAATGTCGTATTTATTATGGGCACTTTCAAAAAATTTTGGCATATTTGTATTGGCTAGATTTGTTGGTGGTATTAGTAAAGGAAATATTAGTTTATCTATGGCTATTATTTCTGACGTTACATCCCCTGAGAAAAGAGGAAAAGCTATGGCAAGTTATAGAATATAATGTTAATTTTATAAGAGTAAATTCTTCAATTCTTTTTTTTTTTTTCTTAATCAAAATTTCTAGGCTCTAGTGGGAATAGCATTTTCTATTGGATTTGTAGTGGGACCAATGATAGGGGCATTTTTTGCATGGATTTCAAGTGGCAATAGAAATGAAACATGGTATATTGCACCTGCATTATTTGCTTCCTTGCTTGCTGCAAGTAACTTGTTATACGTTATCTATAATTTGAAAGAAAGTCTACCAGTTAAATATAGAACAAAGACTATATTAAGCGGAATGGTCAAATCCGTAATCTATATTAATCCTATAGATCTTTTTCAATTTACTAGTGTATCAGGATTAAACGATAAAGGTAAAATAAATAATAATTTACTTTTGTTCATTAATTAACAATAATTATTATACAAATGCAGTGGAATGTTTTATTTATTTTTAAATAAATATATATATATATATATATATATATATCCTTTTTTCCATTTTTATTATACAAATTTTTCCATAATTATTAAAGTATATTATTTTAGAGCAACACAATTTGAAGATGTTAGGTCGTACATATTTTGTCTACTTATTTATCTATAGTGGATTAGAATTTACCTTAACGTTTCTTACTCATCACATATTTGAATTTTCGAGTATGCAACAAGGATGGATGTTTCTTGGAATTGGTTTAACTATGGCTATTTTGCAAGGAGGTTGGGTGAGAAGAGTTCCTTCGCATAAAACAAAATCGGTTGCAGAATTGGTAGGAAAAATTATTTTATATATAAATATATATATTTATATTATTTATTTATATATAATAAATTATTTAAATATATATATTATATATATATATGTAAGTATATAAAAAATAAAAATGTTTAATATATACATAGAAATCAATGATATATATATATATTGTAGGGTTTATGGTTAATAATACCAGCTTTTGTATTTATTGGCTTAGCAAAAAATACAATGATGTTATATCTTGGAATATTTTTATTTGCCGTTTGTAAGTGCACGCAATATATCATTTATAATTATTCGTGTAAAGTATATTTTTTTTTTTTAAATCTAAAAAAGCATTATGTAAAATACATTATAAACTTTTTATATTTTAGCAACGGCTATGGTTGTTACTTGTATGATGACATTAGTCACAAAAATAGGACCAGAACATCAAAAAGGTACAATAACTGGAATATTCCGTTCGTTGGGTGCATTAGCACGTGCAAGTGGACCAATCGTAGCTTCTGCAGGTAATTATAATATTATTGATCGATTGTTCTTTTTGCCAGTGTATATGTATATATGTATATATTTTTTTTTATTGATATCTATGCTGATATATAATTTTTAGGATTTTGGTATTTTGGAAGTACTACAACATATCTAACTGGAGCTGTTTTTCTTTTATTGCCACCCTTTATACTTCATATTATGAAGCCTCTATAACAAAAAAGAGATCTATATTAAATATATTTTTACTTATTGATATATATATATATATATATATATATATATATACATATTTTTATATTTGCAAATTGCATTCACTGAAGTGTCCTAAAGTATTATGTACTGTTATACAAACAAACAAAACTAAATCGCTTTTATTAAATCGTCGTATGATCTATTTGTTTAAACGTACGAAAACACGCAACAATTTTTAATTATACGAATGTGTAGATATATATATATATATATGTACACACACATACACACAGAAATGTTTATTATATTTTAACAAGATGTTTAACGAAAAAAGTATTTTTGAAATAGTATTATTGTAAGTATTTTCTTTTGTATAAGGATATTATGTAATGTCTTATAAAGATTTATTGAAACGTCAAATAGTACAATATTTTTTCTGTTTACCGAAATACTTTCTATTTTACGAAAACTTTAATAACAATAGTGTTATTGCAGATATAGAATATATATATACATAAATACCGTCACAGACACACCCACATCTAATAAAAGAGAAAGTAAGTACCTTATCTATATTATGAATCTTCTTAAATTATGGTCATAAGGTAAACAATTTTGGTTTTTCCGATTTTATTTTTTTAAGATAATTTGTTATGTTCTATTTATACATATTGTAAATAAAAAATAATTTTTTTTTTAAATAAATTCTATTTCTACGTACTGTATGTAAATATAAAATATAAAATATAAAATAATAAGTTTACAAAGCTTAAAACTTAGAAATTCCCAAATATTCAGGTAACAACTGTATACAATAAATGGGATTTTATGATTAACGGGACTTTCATACTTTTACGTAGTATAATGGAAAGTTACTGAAAAATTTTTAAATTTATTTTCCAAGAAAAAAAAAAAAGAAAGATTAAAACAATACGAAATATTAATTATTAAATATTAATTATTAAATATTAATGTAAAATATTTCGTTAAATGATTTAAAATTCCCGGTTAAAAATTCTGAATTTTCAATGGTTTAACATATAATACGACATACATACGCGATTGATTTCATTGTTTATAAGAAATAATGAAAAATTTTAATAAATCATTAATAAAATTGTATATAACAATTTGTTAAAGATTTGAAATATTCTATTAAATCTAATAACTTTATGTCATATGAAACTATGAAGCTTTATAAAGTGAAACTCCCTTTTGAATTGTCGACCAATCAGAAAGAAGTATTATCATCACGTGGTACAGTTAGTGGGGGTACTTTCAAGGGATAGTTCGAGGTATTTTCTTAATGCTTGTAGCCAGTCAAGTAGCATTCGTCGTTCGTGCTCGTTGATTTTACGACCACTCATGCCATTTTTATTTATATGTAGTGTGGGGTAACGAAGTCGTGGAAGATCGTGCGAATAGTTTAATATTATTTGAAAGTAATATAAAATATTTCAATCTAGTGATGTAGTTTTAATTTGATAAACAATTGTATACGTAATAAGACACATTTCCGTAAAAATCAGCGTTATTATATTAACATAAACGTTGAACGGGGTAGTGATCACTGTGTATACGACCAAATTTTTCACGTCTGTGCTCATTATAAAATGGATTATCGCCAAAAGGTATGTCTTAAATCGTTTAAATATTAACGAATGAATAAAAATCAAACGACGCAATATTTATTTGTAAAAGTAGAAAGAAAAGGAAAAACTTTGTTCGATGTATATTTCCATATTTTTTTAATAACGTTAGCGTGAAGAAGAAGAAGAAGAAGAAGGAAAAAAAAAATACCCGTATAAACAATTTCTATGATTTGTTTTTTAATCAGTAATATAATTGCAATTGATATGTTTTAATAATGATAATATCATAATTTCCATCATATTTTTTTTTTACAATTCACACGTATTATATATAATTACTGCTAATATCATAGATTTTCATTATGTTTTTTTACAATACACATGTATTAAATATAAATTATTCGTATTTGCGTACATCTGCATTAATTTTATTGCTAAATTTACTATAATTGTAAATTAAATAAAATTATTGTTATATGATAATGTTTGCAGATGGTTTTGGCTTCTCAACAAAAGTTTCATACTGATGATGACGACGATGAAGATTTAGAAGCTTTACGTTTAGCTGCATTACAGTCATTAAGGACTAAAGATACTTTGCATAATAAAAGACAATCTTTAACACAATTACAAAAAGTTGTCCCACAAGTGACACAAATTGCACGTCCGTCTTATAAACCACAAAGGTTACCAAGAAGGGCTCATTTCCATAATCGTCTTCAACAAAGACAGAATGGCGTAAGTTAATTTATTGAATAGATATAAATTATAAATATTAATAATAATAATTTGATTATTATTTCATTCAATTGTACTATATTTTTCTTTAACAGAATTTATATTATCAAAGCCCCAGAAACCCTAATCTCATAGCTATCGTTCCTGTGGATGAACATTCTGAGTTACAAAATATTGAAATAACAACTGCTACGAATGTAGAAAAGACTGATACTCATCATGCAGGCATAAAAGTAGCAGGTAAAAGATATTTTCATTTGAAATGTATATTTATCCTTTAATATCAATTTAGATATAAATTTTCTATTTTTCTTTCTTTCTTTCTTTCTTTTTTTTGTTTTTTGTTGTTTTTTTTGTTTTTTGTTTTTAATTTCATTCAATTATATTCACAGAAGAATCAAAGTTTCATCGTTATAAAGATACTGGAAGTGGATCTGATGAAGATGATTCAAAAAATCATACGAATAATTTATTACAATTAAAGGGAGAGTCTGTTAAAACTGGTAGTATAGAAAATGAAGATACTACAAAAAAGAAGGAGACTCAATCAGAAGTTATTGATGACTCGCAGAAGCATGAAGATGAGGAGGATGTCAATGACGATGACGATGATATACTTTTGATGGCTGATCTAGAGGAAGAAGATAGTTTAGAACGATTAATGGATGAGATGGAACGAGAAATGAATGTAGACAAACTAATTGAGAAGAAGGATAAAGAAATAAGTAGAAAGAATAATAAACAATGTGATGAGAATGTTATTCAAGAAACAAAAAAGAATGAAGAAAATGTTAATAGAAAGGAGAATAACAATCATGCTACGTCACTTACAATAAATGTTAGATGCGAAAGAAGATCTGTATCGCCGCATATAACAAGTGGAGTTTCTCAAAAACGAAGATCTTTATCGCCAAAATCACGAAGTAGTAGAAAGAGATCACCGAGAAGATCTCCACGGAGATCACCGTTAAGGCAAATAAAAAAGTCACAGAGAGAAATAAATAAATATAAATCTCCTGTAAGAAGATCTCCACATAGAAAATTATCGCCAAGAATAAGATCACCCAGATCGTCGCCTCATTCCAGATCTCCAAAATTATTAAGATCTAGATCGCCAAGGATATTATCACGTTCAAGATCTCCTCCTAGGACAATTCGTTCTCCTAAAATAACATCAAGATCGCCTAGATTGACACGATCACGATCACCAATTAAATTGTCATCTCAATCAAGATCACGTTCAAAATCTACTTCACCACGTCGATTATCTCCATCAAAGAGAATATCACCACGATCTCGTTCACCAGGATTTTCTCCTCGTAGAGGATCACCTCGTAGAATGTCTCCGCCAAAAATTTCACCAAGAAGATCGCCATGGTCATCTCCTAGAAATTCTCCACGCCTTTCGCCAAGGCGAAGGAGATCACCTAAAGTATCCCCAAAGGAATTAACAAGAAAACATGGGGGTACGTGCTCTGTGAGCCCTGATAATACATTAAATTCTTTATACATTAGAGAATCACCTCCTATGCATAAACGAAGATTGTCACCTGAATCTTATAGAGAAAAAACAAAACAGAAAGAAGAAAATTCTGATAAGATTGATTTAAGTGATGTTAAAGATACAATTGATAATACCGTAAATGATCCAATTTTGGAAGCACGAAGGAAAAAATTTGAATCTACAAGACCAATAGATCCTTTACTTGCTAATAAGAAGATCAAATTAAGTAATGCTAATAAAAAGACAGAAGTTTTAGATAGAACTCAAACGATCAGCACAAAAAAAATTAATAAATTAACAGACGATGATCATAATGTTAGAGATAGAGATATATGTTTGGATACAACTTATGAATTTGAAGAATTAGGTGATACAATGGAAAATAATTCTCCATTACCTATTAGCAGTTCGATCAATTCCTGTATAAATGTGGAATCTTCAAAGACAGAGAAAGAGAAGTCATCTAAGAAGAAGAAAAAACGTGATAAGGAAATATATCAAGTTGGAAAATTAAAAAGTGAATTGCCCCTGTCTGAGCGTATTGGAAAAGATAAAAAATGTAAGAAAAGAAAGGATATTATAACAGAAGTTCAAAATGAGGACGTAGATGCTATTTTTGAAGATATAGCTGTAGACGAAGAGGGTGATTTAAGAGCTGAACTTAGTAGAAGACGTGCTGAACGATTAAACAGATCTGTACCAATTCAATCAGCAAGACTTGTACAATCAGCTTTCAAAGGAGTTGTTAATGAGTAAGTACATTTTTTATATAATTACATTTCAATTATTTTAATTATTGTTTTTCAAATATAACAATATATATATATATATACATGTATCTATGTATTATCTTCTTACAGAGTGGTGAAAAATAATGCAAAAGTAAATCAGAGGCATGTAATCAAAAACGATGAGAAAGGTAATTATTTAATGAAAAGATAGAAAACATTTATTTGTAATATTAAATTTATATAAAATTTTTTTGTTTTATACAGTTAATCAAAAGGACGTCAGACGAGTTACTGTTGTTAGATCAGTTTCCGAATTACATGATTCCGGAGGTATGTATATGTTGATAATCTTTTTTTTTTTTTTTTTTTTTCATTAATTTCACATGGATATGCAATTATATACATAAATTTATTCTTTGTTGTGCTTATTTACAGATGAAAGCAATCTTGATTCAAAGGTCCCTGTACGTTTAAGGCTAGGCCTTAATAAACAAATTCAAGATACAAGAGAAACAAAATCACGGAAAACCTCAAAAAGACAAAATCGCAAGGTAAAGCACAAAACTAATTTGACTTTAACCAATCCAGAAAATGTTTTGTAGTATTATGTTGTTAATTGATTGTATAAAATGAAGCACATCTTTACTTTATATAAACACGATTTTAAGAGATAATTTCAATGCAAATTTGCACAACAACAAAATACCCTATATAATAGTGATATAATCATTATAATATAATATACATATACATATATATACACACATACACAATATATATATATATATATCTTGTGTAACAAAATATTATTTTCGTGAATCTCAACAAAAAAAGGTCATATATAGTCATTTGTATCTGCAACAAATAAAGTATAAAGAATATATATTTATATATATATATATTAAGTTGAAATATATTTATATATAGTCTGTGATAAATCACTGTTTTAATTGAAGTTAATTCTTTGAAATAGTATACAAAAAAAAAAAACATTAAGATGATTTAAATCACATTTAAACAGACATTTTTCATATTAAAATATATTACAATATTAAAGTTTGAATTATTTGAGGTAATATGAAAAATTAAATGATATGAGCAATAATATTCTAACAAATCCTAATTTTCATTTACACTTTATATCATGAAAATATATGACTTAATGAATTCTATGTTACAAACACTTTTTATTAAAGATTGTTTATTCTTTTATAATTGCAAATATAAAATTGACCAAGTTGAGATAAAATTTTGTTAATACTTGAAAAGCTTTCTTTGTTATATACAATACACATAATATATATGTATATATATGTATATGTAATTTTTCTTTAATTTAAGCATTAGACAAGATCAAACAATATGTGAAAATTAAAAAGTAAGTTCAGGTTTTAAAATTTATTCTAATATCAAAAATCATTACAATCTAAGATTTAATTGTTATTGTAACTTCGTATAAATTTTTCTTCAATGTCTCCTTTATTTTTGTATTATTTAGATGTGATTATCAATACGCATATATAGGCATTAATTTAATTCTATGATATTACAATATAAATTTTGTTTATATATTATTTTTAACTCTTATAGTTATATATAAGAGTTTAAACACAAAAGCTTATGTGCGAATTTTCAATAATCCGTTTTGAAAAGTTTTGAATGCTTATACTATTTTCTATGTTATATCCTTATGTGTCATATTTTCATAATTTCATTATATCCCAGATAAATTTAATTAACAATTCTTGGAAAAGATAATGGGGGGAGGGGGTAAATTACTAGAATGTTCAAAAATATATCTAATAGATATAGACACGTATAATAAAATGTCTATAAAAATGTTGTGCATGTATTATTTTATATATAATATTTTCTACAATAACGCATAAACACGTACCAAATGATATTAGAAAAAAAAAAAGAAAAAAAAACATATAAAATATAAAGTTAACTTGATTCCTTTATAAATATATTATTTGAATATAACATTAAAGTCTATCTTATAAAAAGGAAGCTTATTAAGGATTAATTATATTACATGTGATTAAAATAAGACTTTTTAATCTCTTATTTAAAATCAGGCTCCTAGTGTTAAACCTTATGTAAATTTATCTATTATATATTATATATCGAATTAATAAGTTTTGAAATATACTGCTACAAATAATTTATGTACATTGAAAATATTGATAATACAAATATCTCTATATATTTTCTTTTAAATTTATAGTTACAGATACAATATGTATCTCATTAGTTATTGCACGAATGCAAATCATATGTTCCGATAAGAATTTTTTAATGAATATGAATATGTTAGAAAGTAGTAGCATACATAAAGAGAGCATGAAAGAGGTGCTTAAAATCGATTACACACACACACACATACATGCATACATACATACATACATATATATATACATATGTATGTATGTATGTATATGTATATATATATATATATATATCTGTTATATTGTAAGTTTGGAAAGGTACAATATTCCAGTTAGGAAAATAAACGTGATCTCTTTTTTGTCTAGGAATAAAGTAAATCCGCGTTCATCTGATTGCTTGAATATTTAAACGAAGAGAATAAGGTGTCCATCTTCCATCATTTTTTGTCAACGTAGGAAGATGTAAGCATATTAGGGGTTAAAGTATATTGCAAAAATATACAAACATACAGTGAAGGATAAAGAGCATTGTGTTAATTAACGATAGACAATATCCAAAATTTGCACATCTTTATGTCTATTTGTATTTAGTTATTTATTGTTAAGTATTGCTATTAGATTCTTGATTACAATTATATTAATTCATCTCTGTTTTTTGTTGAAGTACGTGTACATAATTTAAATCAATCACTCATTTAATAAACAAGAATCATTAATTATCCCAAAGTCACCCTTTGTACACCTAAAACATGTATTATTACATAGAAATATTGTATAATAATATTGTCTGTACATATATAAAGATAAATGGTATAAATCGATCAGTTAAAAATTGGTTAATCGTATAAGAAATATGTAGAATATTTTGTAAATTGCATTAATGTATCATTGTGCATCTCAAAAAATTATTTGTGTAAATTCGTTATTTAGATGGAAGAAAATCTGTTTGGTTGAAATTGAATTACTTATACCATGTACGTTTAAAGTAAATGGATACTGTGGATATATTCAAATTCGACTGATGAATATTATGCTATATATCAAAATAGCTACCTGCAAAATATAATTCTACGTCGTACAATAGAATTATAATTCATATTCATATTCATATTTTAGTAATAGATGTATATATATATTATATATACATTAGCGATATTAAAAATACTTTACAAGTCATAAGTACATATTCTCATCATATATATAAATATATAAATATATATATATATATATATATATATATATATATATATATTTATATATTTATATATATATAAAGTAGTACTGTACTTTTTTACATATTTTTATGACACTTTTTAGGAATGTTAGTAATTTTTTAAAGTATTCAATGTAGCAATATTTGATTACTTATAAAGTGAGTGATTAATATTATATTTACTGGCATTTTCTTAGTGGATAATTATATAAAATAAATTATATAAAATAATAATATAGCGCCAAGAGTGTGCGCGCTACCAATGTGCAGATTCACAAGTTGATATATTAATATGTATATATAATTGTAGTCTTAATTGGAAAATTAATATTCAATATGCGAGTTGCGTACCTCATAGCATCTATGAAGGTGTAAGTGTTAATTTAATTCAATAAAAGAGAATTACATTTATTCAAGGTTTCATTCGCAAAAACTTTAATATCAAAGTTAGTCGATATAGAACTTTAGTATCAAAGTTTTTTACAGTGAAAACTTAGATAATACAATATTATTCGCTAATTACATACGTGCCTTGATTTGTAATTAATTTATCAAAGGTAAAAAAAGAAAAAAAGAAAAAGAAAGAAAGAAAAAGGAAAAGAAGAACAACATCACGAATATATATTTTTTCACAATATTTTCTATCAAACTCCCTTGTACGACATTATGCTTCGGTCAATAGATTTACACGTTACAAATTTTATTTATACAATATAGCGCGTGTGTATATAAAATTATCAACTCTGGGAGTTGGCATAATAAATACCTCTTGTATTTATAAATTGTCCTAACAGATTAATAAACCTGTTGAGATAATAAATTATATAATGTGATATAAAGCGACAATTAACGATTTTACATACAAATTATTGTAGAATAACACAGATGCAATTATAATCTATTTGATTATTTTATAATATAAGAAGATAACATATTATTTATAGTAAATATTATTAATTAGGTCAATCCAATTGTTTGTCAATCCATTCTTCTACTCTTTTATCATTTTAATACGAATTATTATAGGAAAAATTAAATATGTTTTTTATTTATATAAAAATTTATACTTACAATGATTTTAATGATTTCAATATTGAAATCTATTATGTGTATAATTTTATTGAAAATGTTCTTGTATCTATTATGTCTATATATAATTTTTCAGTATTAATTATAAATAATTAAAATTATTTTCTGTGTTATTCTGCAATACAAATGCAATACAATATAAAAAAAAAGTAGAAAACATTTGGAAACATAATAATTTATAAATATGCGCTCTATCATTACATTATTTAATTTAATTATTAAAATTTTTTTTATTTAGTAGTAAATGCGGATGGCGATATGGATACTAGTTGATATTTCATGTTAACTCTTAAGAAAATCTTTATTTTTTACAAAGAACTTGATATATCTTTTATATTATATATAAACGATAAGTCATTAAAGCCATCGTAAGCCATCTGTTATTTGCTACATAATTAATTATTACATTGCGTATGTATGGTTTTATTATATTCTAAATTATAAAAATTATATATATATATATATATACATATTTATATTTATAGTATCTATAATATAAATATATATATGTGTGTGTATATGTATATGTATATATATGCATATATATATATATATGTACATATATATATATATATATATATATTTATATATATACGCATTTATGTGTGCGTGTATAGATTTTCGATGAAGGGAAAAAAGAAAGTGCAAAAGAATTTTTTGTTTAGACTTAACGAGTATAATATATAAAATTACAAATTCTGAAGTAATTTCAGTAATGCTTGTTTCTCGCGTTGCTTCGAATTAATAAGAATCTCTTATTTCAGAAAAATACGGAATAAAAAAAATTTTTTACTTATGAATAAATCGTTTTTTTTTCTCATATAAAAACCTATGTACTTAATAT